AGACAGGGTGGGGCATGTAGCTCAGAGGATTAGAGCACGTGGCTACGAACCACGGTGTCGGGGGTTCGAATCCCTCCTCGCCCACAACCTCCTAAAAGGAGAAGGACCTTGGGGATAAGAAAATAAAATATGATTGAGGTTGAAATAAAAAAGTCTTACATTATTTTTTAATGTAAAGTAGAAATATAGTAGAATAGTATATCATGAGATAGAATGTAATAGAAACAAACTTTACACTTCCTTTTGATTCCAAATTCTTTCATTGGAAATGAAAAAAATCTCCCCAAGTAGGATTTGAACCTACGACCAATCGGTTAACAGCCGACCGCTCTACCACTGAGCTACTGAGGAACAACGACAAATTCTATCCCATCCTTATTCTAATAAAATAAGATATCTAATTCTATATAGAATAAGATATCTAATAATATCTTATACTAAGAGTTTGTAATATATTCCATAAGTAATCATATTCATAGAATATGATTGATGCCTTGGTGGTGAAATGGTAGACACGTGAGACTCAAAATCTCGTGCTAATACAGCGTGGAGGTTCGAGTCCTCTTCAAGGCATAATATTGAGATCTATTATGGAATTGGAATAAGTTCGCCAGCAGATCACGAAGTTTTGGTAATCTTATCTATCTAATGAAGTGAATGGAGAGTCCATTTTGAAATCGTCCCGCCTGCAACCCCTGTAAACCAACGGATAAAGTATATTTTATATTCGATTTAGGAGATTGGTGACTTACCCATTCAATGACTTTGGCACTCGACATTCCAAAAAATGGGTACTGTACTCTCGGGTCGGGTGAATTCCATAATAGACGCCTGTTGGCATGCCAACCTTCTTTCTCAGGACCTATCTGAAAAGAAAATTCTGTACTTATTGGTTGTGAATATCTGAATAGGACAAATCCCCCCGTGGATCTCTTTATTTGCTTCAAAACAAGTGGGCTCGGTCAAGGGCAATATGGATTCTCGATATTAGGGGATCTTCTCAATTGAAAGATCCCCTAATATCAACTTGAGACGATGAGAAAGAAAGTATCTATTTTATTTCATTATTCAGTGAAACCAATCGTTCGTTATTGGAAGAGATAATAACAAGCATCTCGTCTGGGAAAACCCATTTTTTTCTCAACAATGTCTTTGTGATTTGAGCCAATAGGGTTCTGTTAGATAGGAACACATTTGATAAATATTGATAACTTTCGTATAGAGTAGTAGAACGAAAAAATTCATTTGATACTGAAGTATTGGTTGTAAACCATCTCTCGCGATCAATCGATAATCTCAAATTCTGTTCTTCCATATCCTTCCTCAACCATCTTTCATCTAGATATTTCCAATAAGTTTTCTTGGTTTTGGAAGTCAAAAGTATCTGTTCCTCTGAAGAAAATTCTTCTTGATGTGAAAACACAGGATCCTCATCCTCTTGGAATAGCAAAAAGAGTGGATCTCCGGGGTCCCAAATGAAATGGCTTATGTGAAAAAAGCCTTGTTCGTTGGAAGATCTCACTCGTGTCTGGTCCTGCATGGTTCCATCCTGCAAGAACTCCGAATCATTCTCACCCTTTTCATCATAATCATCTTTGTCCTGAAATGACCCTTCCCCATAGGGAAATCTCAATTCATTGGACCCTTCGTCAAAGAGAAAGCACCAAGGGCGCCACAGTCTAGGAGCCCAAAGTATGTTTTCCAATAATTCCTCCATTAGGTCTAGCTCTAGCTCTAGCTCTATCGCTTTCGGGTCGTAGACTCCGACTCCTTCCCCTTCTTCGAACCCCGGTTCATATTTTTTATAGAGAAATCGTTCACTATTATAAATGATAGAAGAAAACCCATTTTGAAGCATCTTTAAGGGATTTCTTTCGGGCCGAAGAAGCAACGACACTCCATCATTATCAAACCGACTTCCTGTCTCGGAGGGTCCCAGCAGAGCACCCTCTATTTCTAATAGCCCATGAACTAGATCAGAATCATTCTCACGGAGTCTATAAGAAGCATCATTGTTTTCATTAGGTCTGGGTACAGAAAAAAGTCTTCAGCGACCGATCCGGCAGAACAACTCAAAAGATAAAGAAGTATAGTTAATTTCTTCATGCTTCTTCCAAGTTCGACGTACCATTTGTACAAAGAAGAATCCCCCTCCTGACATGCTGTCTTCTTCATATAGATAGATATAGGATCTATAGAGCAATTACTGAGAAGTAGATTTTGTGAAACAACCCTCCCTATCTGATAAAAAAGGATCCCATGATCCTGAATCTCTCTTATATGAGATCTAAAATTCCAAGTTTGTCTATGAAGAGCAAATCGAATTATATTAGTGTCTATAATAGATTTCTTTTGTATAATACTAATCGATAGCGCCTCATTAGTAAGTGCTACAAGATCAGGTACATTAGAACCTAGAGTTATAGACCCCAATCGATTAGTATTGAATATTTGCTTTTCCAAGTGAAATCCCCTAGTATATGAAAGAGTAAAAAAATGC